TATTTACCACAAGCTTTTAGCCTTTCCGAGCATCAGTTTCTAAATCTGTAAAATGGAAATAATATCACTACCTCACACAATTTGGTGAAGAGATTTATTAAATAATGCACTGTGCTTAACACACTGAAGGTGCTCAATAATTTTAATCTTTCAACCAATATTTTTTGCACTCCTACTATATGCCAGGCATTGTTATAGATACTGGAAATAAACCAGGGAACAAAACGGACAAAATTATAATCTGCCTTCTAGTTTATTTTCTACGGTACATTTATTTTACCTTGTCCTAGGCATGGTGCTGGGTACTCTGGGGTTGAAAAAATGAGCCCCAGAACAGGTCAAGTATTCAATTAAATAAAAAAGATAAAATTAAGATAATCGTGAAGTATATGTATTCAGGGAAATAGAAAGTCCTATGAGAAAGCATGATCTGAAATCAGAGGATAGAAAGGGAGAAGATGCTTTGCAGAAAAGGAAGTACTATAAGTGAGCCTTGGGAAATGTTTAGAAACCTAACGGAAGAGATTTATAGATTTTAGAAAAGGTAATATGAATACAGGTAAGAAGGATGGAAACTGTGTTTATTTTTTATTTTTTAAAGGATAACCTCAAATAATAATTCTTTGGAAAAAGTAGGGCTTACTGAAAAAAGAATTCATATATATCACACACACACACATATATATATGTATTTTAATGCACTTTAGGTTCTGGGGTAGCTGTGCAGAACATGCAGGATTGTTGCATAGGTACATACATGGCAATGTGGTTTGCTGCCTCCATCCCCCCATCACTTATATTTGGCATTTCTCCCCATGTTATCCTTTCCCAACCTCCCTACCCACTCGCTGTCCCTCCCCCTTTCCCCCCCAAAAGACCCCAGTGTGTGATGCTCCCCTCCCTGTGTCCATGTGTTCTCATTGTTCCACACCCGCCTATGAGTGAAGACATGCAGTGTTTGATCAGTTTACTGAGAATGACGGTTTCCAGATTCATCCATGTCCCTACAAAGGACACAAACTCATCGCTTTTTATGGCTGTGTAGTATTCCATGGTAGATATGTGCCACAATTTCCTTATCCAGTCTATCATCAATGGGCGTTTGGGTTGATTCCAGCTCTTTGCTATTGTAAACAGTGCCACAATGAACATACGTGTGTATGTGTCTTTGTAATAGAATGATTTATAATCCTTTGGATATATACCCAGTAATGGGATTGCTGGGTCAAATGGAATTTCTATTGCTAGGTCCTTGACGAATCGTCACACTGTCTTCCACAAAGATTGAAATAATTTACACTCCCACCAACAGTGTAAAAGTGTTCCTATTTCTCCACATCCTCTCCAGCATCTGTTATTGTAACTTGTTTTTATCCACTTCTTATATCATAAACATTTTTCCATATCATGAACATTTTCCCATAATACTGAATAGTCTTCCCAACAAAATGATACATTTTGATTTGTTGTCCACATTTGTTAATGTGACATGTGAAAATATGGCGACTTATCGCTATGCTGATATACTTTGATTATTGGGAGGTTAACATCTCCCCTACCCCAACCTTGGACAATTAAAGTTTTTTGTCTTTTGTGAATTGCCTATTTACATGTATTTCTCATTGGGGATCATATGTATAGCAGTATTCAACTCTCTCTGCCTTAGTCCATTTGGGCTGCTATAACAAATTACCACAAACTAGGTGATTTGTAAACAACAGAAAATTATTTCCTAAAGTTCTAGAGGCTGGGAAGCCCAACATCAAGGTGCAGATATGGTGTCTGGTGAGAGCTCATTCTCTGATTCATCGGTGACACCTTCTCACTGTATCCTCCCATGGTGGACGGGGCAAGGCAGCTCTTTGTGGTCTCTTTTCTGAAGGCACTAATTCCATTCATGAGGAATCCTTTCTCATAACCTAATTACCTTCCAAAGGCTCCACCTCCTACTACCATCACACTGGGGACTAGGAATCAACATAGGAACTCAGAAAGAGAGGGAACAAACATTTAGACCATAGCAATCTCTCACTGCTTTATATGATATCTTTTTTAAAAATATATTTTATTGCATTTTAGGTTTAGGGGTACATGTGAAGAACATGCAAGATTGTTGTATTGGTACATACATGGCAGTGTGGTTTGCTGCCTTCCTTCCCATCACCTATATGTGGCATTTCTCCCCATGTTACCCCTCCCCAACTCCCCACCCCCGCCCCCGTCCTTCCCCTAGTTCCCCCCAACAGACTCCAGTGCCTGATAATATCTTTTGAAAGGGAGTATGTAAAATACAGAGCTTAGCATTTGTCTTTTTTTTTTTTTTTTTTTTTGCTTATGGTATTTCTGGTGATTTTTTGAAAGAGGTATTTTGTTATAAAAATAATAGTTGATTTCAAAGATTTTGGAATATTAGGATATTCCAAAGATTTGGAATAAAAATATAGAAAAGAAAATCAAGCTGTAACTCTACCACCTAGGAATACATTTTTTGCGGGGTAGGAAGAATATATTAATGGATATACCCATTGATATAAAAGAAACTTGTATGCAAACAGAAATTGCATTAATCTTGTTCAATCCTTATTAACTTAGGATAATGTCTTAGAGTAACAGCTTAATAAATATTTTTGATTAAATGAATTTTATGAATTTATTTCAAAATTATGTTTTACACATAATATATTACATTTTGCTTTTTTACTGAGTACATTGCAAGCATATTTCCAAGTCATTCAAATAAAAAAAAAAACTTTTATAACTGAGTTTTATTAATATAGATATACAAACTGCACTAATTGATTTAAATATTTTGTTACTGGGCTTTGATTCCATATTTCGTATTTCAGATAAGATGGTAATAAACATATATATAAATCTTCATACGCAATTCACATTATTTCCTTAGGCTATATTTTTAGACCCAAGATCACATAATAAAAGGCTATGAACATTCACAGGTTTTGTGTTTTCTTTGTAGAGACGAGAGCAAAACAGGACCAGGAAGGTATTGAACCCCTGAGCTCAAGGAATCTTTCTGTTTTGGCCTCTCAAAGTGCTGAGATTACAAGTATGAGCCAGTGTGCCTGGCACACAATTCACATATTTTAATACATATGACCATGTAATTGCCTCATACAGTTGTATTGATATACCTTTTATTGAGCAGCATAAAAAAAGATTCCATTAAGGCCACAACTCTTTTACAAAACTAGCATCACTATTAGTCCTTATTTAGCAAAGCAATAAAAAAAAAGTATTGTTTCTATGGCTAAAATGATTTCTGAAATGAAATAAATTTATCTAAGAAAATAAAGAAGGAATAGCTGACCAGGAATAGTGATATGATCCAGCACACATATATTTGTTCCTAGAGTTGATAAATCAATTATCCTTTATTTCAAGCACTATTAAATTTATATTTATCAATGCATTGTGCTGTGAGAATTCTCAAACAATCCTACTTGTAGTATTTTCTTTGATCTTCCTTCATTAGAAGAACTACTTCCAACTATATCAGACAATAAAGAAAACATGTAATTGAAGGCTTGAACATGTGTATATTTTTTAATCCTTAATAAAAAAAATGAATTCTAGAAAGTATATTTGTCTGACAGGTGACTAATCTCTGTTCTATTATAAACTATAATCTTTTTTTAGCGTTTTCCTTCATTTTACTGACAATAGCAAAATAAATGATATCCTATCCAGTTCTAGTTAATCACTAAGTATGAAGAGTATTCAGGCTTTGCCAAGCCAAGGTCAAAACTCCCCACATCTTGGTTTAGAGCACTTACATTCTCCATCTTTTCCATCCAATTTAATGAATGTTAAATTAGCAGTTGTAGTGTTATTTTTTAAACTCCCGCAAACCTTAAAATGTTTCTAAGTTATTTTTCCGAATGTATAAAATCACCTCATTTTAATAAAAACAAACTATCTCAATGTAGGTATAAGATACGTATTTGTAATGAGAATAGAAAACAGTCCAGAAGAAGCAGTTAATACTTTTTGAGGTGGATTGGAGTGAGAGGCTTTTGCTGCAGCACTGAATGAACTACTCCGTTGCGATGAATTTTGCTCTTCAAAAGTCAACAATGGTTTTTGATGATGCTATTCTTCACAGAAATGTGACCCAGCTGATTTAAAGGCCCATACAAGTAAATATTGGCGGCTGAGGAGGCCTTATCCTTGTTGATGGATTTTTCAAGGTTGATTTTGAGTTAGAGGCTTGCTCTGTCCATACAGACTTGTTTTTTCCCCTTGCTTAGAACCAGCATGAAAAAAACGCAAGAAGAAACTTTGGTTTTATTATATCACATTTTAAATACCTGAGCTAGCGTGGTAAGAGCAGTTAAAACATATCTTTCTAAAGGTTGGTTATTTTGGGTCCCAGATGCCAAAATAACCAACCATTCCCTAACCAACTGATGTCTCTCTGCTGTATGTAGTAAATTAAAACTATGTGTTTTATAATATGAAATAAAGGGTGCCCCAAATAACTGCTTCGTTAAAGTTAGTGTTTTGAGGGAAGTATGGGGGCTTCTTTGTAGCACTCCCTTGAAAAATATTTCTGAGCAAGCTCCAATACAAACACCTTTCTCCTAAGGAATCAATCTGCTGGGCTAAATCTTCAACACTTTCTCTTTTCATCACCTTTGAGGCAGATAGCCAAAATTTCTTTAAACTGCTGATTTCACAACAGGATGACAAAAAGAGTGTGTGTGTCTGTGTATGTGTGCATGCCCGTACGTGCCCTCGTGTGCATAGCGTACCATTTTACAAAATCCAGCATTTAAAACAGATTTTAAAATTCCCCTTTAACATCAAATGATTAAATTTTTTTTTAAGCTCAGTAACAGCCCAAAACTGTAGTTTTGAGCCATGTCATCAACTCCAAACACGACTGGGGCAGTGGAGCAGGGAGAAACAGGACAGAGAAACAGAGGAAAAGCGGGTGAAGCAGAAGGCTGGGACAGTCAAAGGGATTCGCCGTCTCTTACCAATTCCTCCCTCCGCACACATCACAGCATGATGATCACGAGTCTCGAAGTGCAAGAAAAGAGCCAAGCACAAATCCGAAGAGTCAAAGCGGGCTGTGCTTCCACGCCAGCCATCTGCCTTCCAAGGGGAAAAAAATCACTTCTCAGACATCTCCCAAACTCAGCGGCCGGAGCCGGCGCCAGAGCCTGTGCCGAGCCTGCGACCTATTTCTCCCTGCGCTCCTCCTCCAGTCTCCGACGGGCTCCGGAGCAGCCCGGGCTTCCGCTCACCGCCGAGCACCCGCCGCCCCGCCCTCCGTGACGCAGCAGGGGCGGGGCCTCGCCGCTGCCCGGCTCCCAGCTCCAGCTGTTTGACGGGGCTGCCCTTCGGCTCAGCGCAGATGCCCCAGTGACCCAGAGTCCTTACAGTCTCACCTCTGACTTTCACCTTCCAAGTACGGTTTGCCCGCGGTTGACGGTTTGGTTTTTTGTTTTGCTGCAATTCTAACAATTCACTGCTTTCGCTAAACGTGGAACACTGTACAATTATTTTTTGGAGGGTAAAAGAGATCAAATCTAAAAATGTTGCGCCACTGCATTCCAGCCTGGGCGACCTAGTGAGACCCTACCACTAACTAAAACTAACTAAATAACTAACTAACTAAATAAATAAAATGTGACTGTTTTTATAACTAGAAATTAGGAAAACGATTACAATTCTGATTTGGTCGTTTTTCTCACTCCTTGCCCTTCCGTTCCCTTATTCAGGATAATGTGGCTTTAGTTCATACAGCTGCCAAGGTCCGTTTGCTTAAAACTCACAACTTTTTTTTAATTTTAACTCCTAAATAAATTTCAACAACCTGTCAGGTTTCTCAAAATGTCTAATTTGGAAAGGGGAAAAGCCATTTAGAGAAGGCTGAACCAGTAACTCAGAACAAAACCTAACAATCCTGGCTGCCTGTTTTATCCCATTGAAACAAATATAAAAAGGAAGGCAAAACCTTCCACAACTCTCCATATTGTGCCTCTAGCTTCCATTCTCTCAAATGTTTCTCAAATGTGCAGCAAGAGTGAAGAAAACTAAATGATCATGCAAATGGTTGACTATTAGTGAAGAGCTCACCAGTACAGACACAGGGAGCTGGTTGGTCGGCTTGAAAATTCTCTCAGACCAAGAGAAGCCAAACAAGTTCCTGCACCCACTGAGATGGTGCCTCTGCCAGATGAGGAGAAACAAGTTCTGGGTGTGGCTTCCTGTGATGCTCCATTAGGGAAGCCTCCATCTGCAGGTAAGGACAAATCTCTGCAGCTTAGTCAAACTCAGCTGCCAGAACTAACCCAGCCTAGAACACACTGTTATTTACGTGGCCTCTGAAATTCCTGGCCCTAGTAGCACTTTTTGCAATCATATGACTGTCTCTAATATGTTTTAAGATGAAACACATTTCCTACCTGAGAGTTGACCTTATAGAGGAGACTTAAAAAGGTAACTGGGCCCTCCTGAGCTCCCCCAATCAAGCACTGGTGTGACCTCAGCAGAAGGCCTTCCTGGGAAAGCACATACCAGGACAATTCAGGCATGTAGCTGGCATTTGCAGCCTGTTTTAATTGCTTAAATCAGTGGTTCTAACTAGCTACACATCGGAGTGAACTGGGGAGCTTGATAACACAGCCCCACCCAGGCCAATTAAACCGGAATCTCTGGGGGTGGCACTCTGGCAATGTCTTTTTTTCAAGCTCCTCTAGAAATTCTAATGTGCACAAGGGTTGAGAATCACTGCTAGGATTTGAATTATTGTCTTAAAAGAAAATCTATATTATATTTAAGTCTAAAAAGCACAGAAGTAGAATGGAAAACATTTCATAGTACAACTTAGCCTTATACATATTCTTTATATATTTTAATATAAATATAAAAATGTGAAGGTACACTTCAGAATTGTTTACTCAGGGAAGGATAGTGGGGGGAGATTGCTAGCTTTTTATTCATGTCTGTCATTTGAATGAAATTTGTGTCTGTATTATATTGATATTTTCAATATTTCTAACCAAATGTTTTCAAATCGATACTCATAAATGCCATGAAGGTCATTGGAATAACCACTATTAAGGTGGGTTTCTGTCAATTTATTGGGTTTTGTTATGTTTGGTGTTTTCTTTTTGCAATGTTTCTATAATATACAACTTTTCTCAGAGTGATGCCTGTTTTGGAAAAAGATAAAATACGATTTTTAATTTAAGACATTAGCTACTTTAAATCTACATAGTCATTTTTAATTTAAAATGTATTTACTTTCTTTTAATTTCATATATATATTCTTTTTTTGTACTTCTTAGAAAGTTTTTTTTAAAACTAATATTTTAACTATATAATATAGAAGTGAGGGCACTTCATCTTTTCCAGCTAGAAAATTATTTGGACTGTCAACAGTACTAACAGTCAATACTTCATAATAGTCAGGGGGAAATATATGGCACAGTAGTGAAGGGCCTAGGTTTGACCTGGTTTTAAATCTTAGCTCTGCAAATTTTTAGATATATGATCTTGGGTACCAACCCTAAGCTCTATAGATAAAATGGATCTAATAATATTTTTCTCTGTGTTATTGAGACTATATGAAGTCAGGTAGCTGAAGTGCTTATCACTGTGTAAAACATGTAGTAAGTGCTTAATAAATGATAATTATCAATTCACTAACTTCTATTTTTCCCTTTCTTAAACAAACTAAAGGGTTAGTATGGCAGCAAAAGACAAAGAATTATCAGAAAACATTTTTCTAAAGCAGCAAACAGGATTCTTCCTAGAACCTATTATATTTGCTACCCAGTTATATGTGAAAAAGGCACATACTCATTATTTCTGGCTACTGCTTTAACATGTAACATATAAAGCCACATGGTTTAATTTTGTTTACCTCAAAATATTTCACGTTTCCTAAAGTGGCACACAGGCTGATTTCTTATGATTCATAATCAACCGTTGCTTTTTCTTTGTACTTATTATGACTCAAGCACAGATTAGAACATTTCCCACATTCAGTTTTCTGACTAAATTTTGGCCAAAAAAAAAAAAGACAAGATCAATGCTGCAGGCAATTAAACTTGTCCCTAATAGATAAGCCCTAATTTTAATAACAGAATCACAGGAGTTTCTGTCTCTTTTTTTTCTTTCCTTAATATTTGTTGAGCGCTAGTAAACCACTTCTGTTAGGCACTGTACCAAGCAGTTTACAGCTATGACTTCATATATTCCTCTTATCATCCCTATGAGGTCATTCTTCATTTAAAGATGAGAAATCTGAGGTGCAAAGAGGTAGAGCAACTTATCCAAGATGGCAAGATAGCAGGTGAAAGAGCTGGCTTGAGAATACACATTCTTTATTATTATTATATTTTAAGTTCTGTAACATATGTGCAGAACGTGCAGGTTTGTTACATAGGTATACACATGCCATGGTGGTTTTCTGCGCCCATCAGCCCGTCATCTACATTAGGTATTTCTTCTAATGCTATCCCTCTCCTACCCCATCACCTGACAGGCCTCGATGTGTGATGTTCCTCTCCCCTGTGTCCATGGAGAACACACATTCTTGTTTTTTTGAGATGGAGTTTCGCTCTTGTTGTCCAGGCTGGAATACAATGGCGTGATCTCGGCTCACCGCAAACTCTGGCCCCTGGATTCAAGCAATTCTCCTGCCCTAGCCTCCAGAGCTGCTGGGATTACAGGCATGCGCCACCATGCCCAGCTAATTTTTTGTATTTTTAGTAGAGACGGGGCTTCTCCATGTTGATCAGGCTGGTCTTGAACTCCCCACCTCAGGTGATCCACCCACCTCAGCCTCCAAAAGTGCTGGGATTACAGGCATGTGCCACCCTGCCCAGCCGAGAACACACATTCTTAATGCAGCTCTATACTGTGGGCTAAGCAGCACGGCTTTCAATAAATTAGGGAAGTGCATAGTAAATGATTTTTGTTGGGATAGGGTAAAACCATGCTATGACTATAACTGCCTTGTTTGCAGTAGAAATTCTCTATTTCTAGAAACAACAAGAATATCTACATTATTATTACCAGTTGTAAACACAGATCTTAATTTTACGTGTGTGCGTGTGTGTGTGAGAGAGAGAGAGAGAGAGGAAATATATTTCCTTCCCTTTATATCAGGTGAGTCCCCTTTTGTCCACAGAACGGATTGGCTTTTAACCTTGTAAAAACCCTTGATACGTAATGTAATGTAAGGGTATCAGAAAGAGAAACTTCAGATTAGCAGAGATCCAGTCTGGCCCCAGACTTCTAGATAATTCCATCAACCATTTCTTGATTCTGTTTGTAATATCAAGATCATGGGTACAGGACAGTAGCACCATTCCTTATATGAAATGATGGCCCTTTAGTCTAGGAAAGAGAATTAATTAGTTTCTTATTTAGACAAAGATAGGTAACAGAGCTTTTAATTGAATAGACATAGTTGCAAAAAAGAAGTATACGTTTTTCTGGATAATGTGTATTTCCCCTACTGACCAGAGAAGGCAGGAGTTTGAAAACTTTGGAGAGGTGAAAGGATGGGAATGGGAGATAGTTCTACCTAGAGATAAGATGGAATCCAGCTTCTCAGGAATGATATGTAATCTTGCACCAAATGTGGGAGAAGACTAATGGCTGAGTGACTTTCAGAAGATAATATCTTAAAAGTTTCACTTTTAAGCTGTTTTCTCTTTCTGTGGTGCTGTATTCCTCCAAATCAGAGCTCTTCAGGTACACTACAAGATAACACTATTAGCCTCTGTGACAGCTGCATGGGACCTGAGGTGTCTGGAGCCCATCATGGATGAGAAACTCATGGATCTGATGAAGAAGCCTGTGTTCCAGGCTCTTGAAGAGCACTGCAAGTGGCCGAGAGAATGTTTGTCGTGGTTGGCAAGGAGACTGGGCCAGAACAGCTCCAGACATCCCAGGTCCCTTGCAGCTATCTTAATTTTCACATATCTTTATTCTTTATTTTCTTTATTTTCATAGTATGTTCTGCTAATTAAAACTTGGCATATAAAAATGAACTGGATTCAAAATCCAATCACATTATCACAAGGAATTCCAATATTACATTATTGAGTAAAATATTAATTGGCATCATATGTGACTGCCAATATTCAACCAGTTTTGACATAAAAATGAGAGCTTTATTTGGTTCAACTAATAAAAAAAAAGGACTATTAGCATCTTTAAGTATAATGTCAATTATTGTAAAATCTAGTATGGTTGTAAATGTCATTTATTAGTTCTTGCTACATATTTGACTGAACATAATTT